ATGCTTATACGTGACTCAGGAGAACACTGGCCGTCACTGCTGCTGCTCACAGCACGCCCAGCTCTGCCGAGGGAGAGATGCCAGTGGCACTTCTGGCACAGGTGGAGTGTCTGGCAGTGGGACAGGTGCTTTTTCAAGAACACGGATGAGACTAAGTGGATGACAGCTGGTGGGGATCTGGTGGACAAATGAGTCCTCGGGTGCCCAGGGCTGTGTCACTGTGGCCCCAGCGCCGTGGCTGTGCAGGGGAGCTGCAAAACTGAGGGCAGGTGAAGTCTGGCTTCCAGGCAAAGCCGTAGTGAAGCCAGCCCATGCAGAGGTTTCAGGGAGCTGTCTACACGTGCTCAGGACCCTGTAGGTGGCTGGAGCGTGAAGCTCCGAGTAGCCGTGTGACTCTGTGACACGTGTGGATAGACCCTGTGTTCCTCTGCTTTGTGATCCACGCAGTGGCCAGCTACTTCTGGGGTGATTCAGTCCCCAAAGCAACACCTTTCAGACCCCTGCTATTGGCATCCTACAAGGCCAGGGTTCTGGCTGGAACCCCCCTGCTGTTATCCCTCACTAAGTGTTGCTGTTTGCCTGGGCTGTACTGCATGCACCGGCTCACAGCCCTTGACTCTGGGATGTGATAAATAGTTGGGCTACTGCGCAGCGTGCACGGCACCTGGGAATAATCAAGCAAAAATAACAGCGTGAGCCTGCCACGCGGCTGGGCTTGACAGGCTGCCATCCCAGCTGTTAGTCTTAGGGGCCTTTTCTCCCATTCTTTTCCTCTCACCGCAGAATTTTGCTTTCCTGTTTTCCTCTTTGGGGTTCTCATAAGACACATCATCAGTAACCCACCAAGATGACATTAAAGAGCTGTGACATGGAACCATCCCTAAAACAGACCAGGTCTCCATTCTGCTGTTAGGATGTGGAGACCCTGATCCCCACCAGTTTTTAAAAGGGGACTCTGATGGGAATGGTCTTGGATGGAGCAGATCCTGGCATTTGGCCTTAGGTGCGTTTGTGATCATGAAACTGGCTGCAGTAGACAGTCCTGTTTACTGAGTGCTGTTGTGTGCCAGGCCTTGAGTCGGGGTCATTGATGGTGCCTCCTGTGAAATCATGCCAGCCAGGTGCCATTTGCATTTCACAGGGAGAAGTGATAGAAGGTAGCGGAGAGCAGAGCTGAGATACCACTGTCCAAGACTCTGGCTTATTTCCCCACCCCCACTCAGGCTGCCCAGCAGGTCCTTGGGATACAGTCCTCTAGTTGAACTTGGCTCAGGGATGTTGTTGTCACAATCCTGTTGCCCACGGAGCAGTTGATCCCCAGTGGCAGGCTGTTCAGCCTGGCCTGCTTCGGTTTGGGCAGGCCGGGTGATACCAGCCCCCCAGCAGTGTGCAGTAATTCATTTTGTGTCACCTGCGGCACCAGGTTCCAGTGAGCAGGAGCAGGCTTTCAGGGATGACAGTTCCTGAGCAGGAGGAGGGTTGGCGTTAGTGGGAGGAGATTCTGCAGGAGTGAGGCGTCTCTGCGGCCTTCCTGCTGATCCCATTGCTGCTGTAAAATGGGGAGTGGGTGAATGAAGCCAGTCGGTGGGTGCCAGATGCCAACACTGGAAAGACACAGCATGCCCTGGGCTGCGCTGCTCAGTGTTAAGTTCACCTCCTTAGATTTTTACTGTGTTGTAGCTGTACTTACATGGAGGGAGTTACAGATTTTTGTTAAATCTAATAGGATGGTGATGTGCAGAGGTATTGGATTACAATATCAGGCTCGGTACTTTTTTCCTTTTCAGGCAGTGTTAGGCTTGGCTCAAATGTCCGGAATGTGGGCCCCATGTAACACATGGCACAGTCATTGTTGTATGAAGTAATGAGAATTCAGACTCTTGTCTCGTTTTGTAAGTGGCGAACAATCGCACTGTTTTTCATAGTTCACCTGCCAAGGAAAACACCTTGAAGGGAGTGGCTGTGGTAATTCTCCACCCCAAAGGCCCTGTGCTGTTGGTGACATCCAAAGAAGAGGGACTTGCGGTAGACCAGGTGGACATACTTTTTGCTGCCTGCTGTCTCACACATCCTTAAAGTCCATGGTGTGGAGTCGGGGTCGGGGAGGAAGGATTCCTGGCAGGGGATGGCAGCTTTGTGCTGCCACTAGAAAGCAAGTAGAGCAATTAAAAAGAAATTCAGTGGTGAGAGCCAAAGAGGTGCACCTTTATTGTTTATGATTAAGTTCATGTTTGTAGTCAAACTCTCTGAACCCTAGATTTCTTATTCTAAAACACGCAGGTTGGAGCTCCCATTTTAAAGAAGTCATTAAGTGTTTCTCGTTGCATTTGTATTGCTTTCATGGAAAAGCCACAGGTGACCTCTGGGGGCACTGGGAACTGTGGCTTTTCTCCTAAGTCACCCAAAATCTCCAGAAGTTTGATATTTGCAATTTGCAGTTGAATAAATACTTACAATTGTGTTTGTGTGTGTGCATGCATATTTGCTCATGCAGCTTTGGCGTGGAGGTGGTTGAAAGAGGGGCTTTTAGTCTAGGCACTGTTCTAATCCAGTTTCTCATCACTATTTGAAGGCTGACAAATAACATTTTCCAGTTAAGGAAATCTGTCCCAGAGAGGTTAAATGACTCTCCAAGGTCACAGGCTAATGAGTGTCGGAGTTGGGGCCGAAATCTTGGTGTCAACACGTCCCGTGATGCCTGTTGCCTCCACTGCCTGCACTGTGTCCTCATTGCCCACCCCCCCCAAAAAAAAAATCTGCCCTGTTCGATTATATTCCACTTCCTGCTGTCCAGTGAAGTTCATCTTTGTTCACTTGATATTAATGTAGGCCATGGTCCAAGACATTTAAAGAATAACCTCAACATCTCAATCTAGTTTGTCTTTTTGGTTAGTGTGTGTGACATCAACATGCAGTTATTTGACCCATACAAATTAAGAAGTTGTTGAGCAACATTGCAAGAAAAAAGCATGACCATAGCTGATTTATAATTTCCTCTCACTTTTTTCTGAAGAAAAATAAATTCTGGAAGGTGATTCTGTTATCCCGCAGTTGTAATAAAGATTGCCAAGATCGCGTCGGATGCCCACGCTCCCCGTTCCCCTCAGATCCACTTCACTCATGCGTCAGCTCTCAGTGTTTGCTTTGGTCCACGTTAAGCAGTGTTCACACAGGGGCGTAAATCACCATGTCTGGGGTTTGGGACTCTTCAAGGTTTTCCTTTCTGGGTCTCTGTGATTAGGAATGCAGAACAGTTAAAAGTGGCACATAAGGAGTTTTATGGCAGCTCCGAGAGCAGGAAATTAAGTTTCTTTACCATACAGATGGGTGCAGGGCTGTTCAGCTGCATCTTGGATTCCTCAGGCAAGTGAATATAGTTTATCATCTTAGCGCACGGCAAGTTGCAGAAATTGCTCCTGCCTTTGGATGAACAGGGAGCCCCTACAGATGATGGGCTCAGCTGTGGAAAAGGAGCTTCCTCATGGCTTTCTCTTGCAATACACTCTCTCTGTTTTCTTTCTAAACATCAATGACTAAGGTTGCATTAGTAGCTAAATGGGGTCCTAAGGTAAGAAGGATATCTGCGAGTGAAGGAGTGGGTAGATAAGATGGCATTTTATGTGTGGACTTTTTCAGCCCAGCTTGAAATCCGTGCAAGGGATTTCCTGATCCAGGCCTGTGTACACTACGAGGTGTAGGAATACTTTCTGTGTGGCTTTTTCACCACCAGGCTCTCCAGCAAGATCATGGTGATACTACAGCAGTCCTAGCACTTGTTTAAATGGGGTAGATGAATATTGGGGTGTGTTGGGGGAATGCCTGGTTAGTACCTAACTAGGCTTTGCTTATGTCATGTATGGATTTGTTTGGATTTTCTGGCTGAAACTCCTTTGCTGCTGTCCTGGGCATAAGAGTATAATGGATGTACCGTTTGGATGGACCATCATGTCACAGGATTGGCAATGGCCAGGGGTGCTGAGGCCGGGGGTGGTTACAGGTTGGCACACCGAGTGTGGTATGCTTTGGAGAGATTCAAGTTCTGTTGAGGTTGAGCACGTGCATTTATTTCCTTCGCTTATGTGAATTCCGCTCAGCTTTGTAGTACAGTGCTCAATTAGGAATTTACATGCTAACAATAACCTGCTTATGTGTTTTGGAGCATTCAAGTGATATACATTAAAGATTTATTTATTTTTATTTGAAAGGCAGATTTGCAGAAAGAGAAGGAGAAGCTGGGAGCAAAATCTTCCATCTACTTATCTAATCCCTATATGGCTTCAGTGGCCAGAACTGGCCTTCTCTGAAGCCAGGAGCCTGGCTTCCCATGTGGCTGCAAGGGATCAGGGAGTTGGATTGGTAATGAAATAGCTAGGACTCGAACTGCCGCCCATATGGGACTCTGGGCCACAGGCAGAGGCTTAACCTTTTGTGCCACGGCTCCAGCCCTGAGATGCTATATTTCACACATGCAGCAGAGTAAGTTAATACATTTTGATAGTGATTTAATTCACTATGATATATAAAGTGCTTCGAGAACAATTTTAGTCTATCTCCTGTACTTAAATGCTCAATAATGTATATATTACCATTGACTTGTATTTGTTGGAATTCTCTCTTTTGGAAAATGTTCTTTTGAAGATCAGCTTTCATTGCAAGTGGGAGACTGACTTTATATGTTGCACAGTGTCTTTCATCCGCATCTACCTTGGCTAGAGGTTGTCCACGGATGAGTGTTAGAAGGGACTGTGAGTAGTTCAGGCAGCTGGTGCTCGCTCGTTTGTTCACCTTGCCCGATGTGGAAAAAAAAGAAGAAAATTTTAAAAGGAAGCCCAGCTGCTCATTGCCCTGTGTTTTGTATTTTGGCACCGTGAAAAGAGTCAAAAAGCATATTGCCACAGTAGATGGGACCTGGACGGTGGATATTGTTGAAGTGATGTAAGCAGACTGCATCGAGAGGCTCGGAATGCAGCTCTACTGCAGTAAGCCTGTCTGTCTTTCAGGTTGACTCCCTGTTCACAGTGCCAGCGCCACCACCGCCGATTGCCAGCAACCTCACGCCTCAGCTTCTGCCTTCCTACTTCCCCCCATCTTCATCCAATATTGCAGCACCGGTTGAACAGCTTTTGGTTCGGACTCGGTCCGTGGGTGTGAATACGTGTGAAGTCGGAGTAGTGACAGAGCCAGAGTGTCTGGGGCCCTGTGAACCTGGGACCAGTGTGAATTTGGAAGGGATCGTGTGGCATGAAACAGAAGAAGGTAAATACCATTTATTTTTATCTATTTCTCTATACCCTCCGTCTCTCTGCCAAGGGGGGTTTGGTTCTCGGGATTCAGAGGAGAAAAGAGGGTGATCTTTCCGCCATCTGGATTTTTGTTCAAAGAACTATGTGTGTGTTTCTTTATTTGCAGCGGTTGCTGCCAAGGGGATAAGTTGCGTGCCCCGGTGGGGAGGTGTCTGTGCCAGAGTGCTGACACAGAAGGACTGTGAGAGGCAGGGTCCGAGTGAGCTTCCCCCTAGAACGTGTCATGGACGTTAGGAAAGAAAGTAGATGGCATTGTATTATTTGCGTTCTCTCATAGCATCTTGACATGGCTGGGTCTGTGTTGTAGGGTCTTGCATTTGCCTAACGGTTAGGGTAAGGGTACTTGTGCATGGTGTGGACCATGGTTACAATGCACTGTGCTGGTTGGTGATCCGAGCGAATGAAGCCTGTGTCAAAGGCTTGGGTCCCCGTTGACCCAGTCGTGTCCTCTGTGGCCCGGTTGACCCTTCACTCAGTGAAGCCATGTGGCAAGTGCAGCCCATTAGTCACAAGAGTAAAAGGTCCAAGAGCCATGGATCAGGACTGATGTGTGATTGCTGCTGCAAGTCAGCAGCTGCCATGCGGATTGTGGTTGCAGATCCTCACTAGCCGCGTTGCAGAGTTGTTTAAGGTGGCCGAGGTCTTTAACAGGCCAGCAAATAATTGAAAGCCAAGTACCAGGGAGAGAACTGCACTGCTCCGTTGAGAATGAGTGGGAAAAAGAAGAAGACAGCATGAACCAGAGCAGCGTTGCTTGTCATGGTTTTGTTTATGTGTGTGTGGGTAGGACTGAGTTCCTGCAGTGTGACCTCGCTAGCTGGTAGATGTTGTAAAACTAGCCACAAGCTTTTCTTGAGCAGCTGTCAACCTAGGGTTATTTTTCACTTTGTCTAGGAGTTTGCTTAAATTTGACTTTTAGCTTGAGCCCCTTGTAAGAGGTAGAATTATTTAGGAGAACAGAAAAACAAAATTCTGTTTAGCAACAATAGCAGGGCTGCTTTTGTGGCTTGGCACGTTAAGCTGCTGGTTGTATAGCTGAGATCCTGTAGAGGTGCCGGTTTGAGTCCTGGCTACTCTGCTTGCAGTCCAGCTTCCTGCTAGTGTGCTTGGGAAAACATCCAAGGGTGACCCAAGCTTTTGGTCTGTGCTATCCCCTTTGGAAGACACAGATGGAATTCCCGTATCCTGGCTTTGACCTGTCCTGTCTGGCCATTGCATCCATATGAGGAGTGAACCAGTAGATGGAAGACCCATCTCTCTCTCAATGTCATCCTACTAAGTAAAGAAGAAAATCTTAGGCAAAATAATAGTAATAGTAATAATAATAATAGCTGTGGCAATAAATGGTTTGACTTGAAGGTGCTGGAATGGTGACGTGTGGCCTCACCCGGTCTACCCCACCCTCTGGAAGCTCACTTTTCTGATGCTGGCATCCATTGCTGTCTGTGAATGTGTTCTGTGAAACAGACAAATGGCTTCCCTGGTTTCTATCCCGTGTGGTGGAGCCTTGGGCCGCTCAGCCTTCTCCGGACTGACTCACATTTTCCAGGATTTGGAATGTGTGCATGTTTACTGTGGAACAAGGAGCTGGAGCTGTTAATGGAGTCATTCTTGCTGAATCAACTAAACTTCTGACCTCCATGGAGAGTCGGGGCTAGCCTCAGTAAAGGCCGGGCTCCCAAGATGTGTGCTTAATGGGCAGTCATTTCCAAGAACATTCCATCTGCAGTTTTTCTCAGAGCAGTGAATTCAAGCCTTTGTGAGAACTTAAAAATTAAACCCACTTGACCATTAATTTTAACCCCCGTTGGGAAAAAGAAAGAAACACAGAACAAACACATTTGGAGCCAGTTGTTTGACAAAGGCTAAAGAGATGGGATTGGGGCGAAAGGGAGGGAGAATGGCTACAAGGGTTTGAGGTTTCACCAACAAAGGGCCTGGAGTCAGCCACTTAGAAAAGTGTCAGGTGCCTTTGACTAATGTGCTGTAGGTGCTGTTGAGTCAAACCCCCTCCCTCGTGTTTTCGTTTGTAGCTGGTGGTGTTTCCCGCAAGTTCGACTTGTTCCCTACACCCAGGCCTGCGTGAAGGTTGTACACGTAGTTGCACGTGTGTCTTAAGCCCGGAGTGTGTCGGGGTTCCTGCGTGTAGGCTTTGGGGGAGGTTAGAATGTTCTGTGATTCGTGTTGTGGTGGTGGAGAGCAGCGAGAGCCGGAGGAGACATCTGCACGTAATGACTGCTCGTCTGTTTTGCCTGGAAGTGCGTGTCGGAGGAAGGTTTTGTGTTACCCCATGTCTCCTCGTCATCTCGCCGCGTGACCCTGTGGTGTCACCCTGGGAAACTCACATGGGTTTCCGATCACGCTTAACAGGAGAGAAAAGCTGTTGCTACATTTGAATGTTTGCTTATTCTTCTCTGATCTTGAAGGTGAACTCGAAAGGAACAGTGATGTATGGTACCAAATCACTCACAGATGTTAGAAGGAATTTCCTTAGCATCTAATTCCTGACATTTGGGACACACATGCCTGTGCAGAGCTATTTGTTTGAAAATACAATCTTTTTGGTTTTGTTTTGTTTCTTAGAAAAAGCCAAAAGGAGCCAGAAAAAGCATGGTGTATGCAGCAGTGTTTGTAAAGGCATATGTGCGGAACTTGGCTTTCGTAGCCTCTCTAAATGCGTTTCCCTTTTGATTTTCCTCAAGTCCTGTTCATTGCTGGGCTTCCTCTGCCGTGCCCTGGAGCGGACTTGGTTGCTAGCATTTTTGCTTACTGCGTCTGGGCTGCCACGTTGTTCCCACCAGGGAGGCCTTGGGACCAAAGGCAATAGAGAGAGAGAAGACCACTCCCTGCCTGCCAAGGATGCCATTGCATTTGTGTTGGTTATGCAACCAGGCTTGTCAGCTCTGCCTGAGTCGCCTGTAGACCTTCTGATCATCTGGGTGCTGGAGTGTGAGGCTGGGTGCTGGGCATGCCCTAGGGTGGTAGATGAGTGGAGTGGTTCCATCTTGGAGCTCCACAGGGATTTTGGAGCAGCGAATCTATGCCCGCTTGTTAATGGACTACCTCCCACGGTGGGGGTGCTGACTGTTGCATTTGTCTCCTGCCAGCCAGACACCGTGCACCGTTTTATTTCCACAAGGTTGGTACGGAATTCCTTCTGGAATTACTTAGACACTGGGAAAAGTTGTCTGGTGCCCAAAGAACTTAACTCAAAAGAAGCAGTCTCGAGGGAGGCCAGTGGGGAGGGCCCCAGATGGCCATGCTGGAGGCTGTGGTTATGACCGGAAGCTCTCAGCTCCGGGTGCCTGCACTTCCTGGGAAGTTCTGCACCTGTGTCCTCCATGTTTACCAAGGAGAGAACAGTATTGCCAGTGAGGCCTTCAAACAGAATGGCTCTTTTAAAATTCTGCTTAATTTGAGAAAAGGTTATACACAGAACTAGGCTCAACCTTGTGTTTTCCATAGCCAGACATGGTTGGGTATGGTGCTTGAGAGAGAGAGAGATATCCAGTGGTATTGCAGGTTCACTTTGAATCACGTGGAAAATGCAGCACCAAGATTCTTTAAGCGGACAGAAGCAGGACATCCCCTAGGGAGCTGAGGATGGCTGGGAAGCTGGAGCCGGCTGCGGGTTCAGGGCTGTGGGTGGCATGGTTCGGGCCTCACTGTCAGCTGCTGGCTGGAAGCCTGTGAGTTTGGTCATGCCCTGGTGTCCAAGGTTGGAGAACCTGGCCTTTGATGTCCTGGGCCCGGAGGGAGAGGCAGACGACCACTCTGTGTGTGTGTGTGTGTGTGCATTCAGCTCTGTTGGGCAGACTCCCACACCCCATGCCTCCTATGCAACGAACACACACAAAACAGTGCTGAGGTTTCTAGGTGTTCCCGCATTGCAGGCAGCAGGATAAGCCCATTCTAGCATGATTTGTGGTGGTCCCTTCGGTGGGGCTAACAAGACAGAGGCGCCACAGGGATTGGGTTTTGAGTTTGTTTTTTTATTTTGTTTTGTTTTTTCTTTTATTTGAAGGGCAGAGAACAGCGTGAGGGAGAGAGCACATGGCTTGCTTGGAGCCAGCTCCCACCCTCTTATTCACACCTTGGACGCCCTCACTGGCCTGGAGGTCAAAGCCAGGAGGCAGGGAGCTCCCATGGGGAGCGGGGACCCAAGTGGTTGAGTCCTTAGCAGGCTGCACAGGTGTCCTAACTTATCTGCTAGGCTGAAAGATTTAAGAAAGTTGTCAGAGTCTGTGCCCCCACCCCAGGCGCCTGTGTGTGTGAGAGAGAGACAGAGAGCTAGGGAGCCTTCCTACCGCCTCAGCTTTTCCCTGTAAAGAAGGAATTGGTAAGAAAATCCTGCACGACTCTTACTGTTGTAGAGACTTTGACTTGAAAGTGCATTTCCTGATTACAAAACAGAAAGCCTCTTCCTTGGCTGCAGACAACAGGCATACTGATTTTTGTAAAAATGTGGGCTTTTTTTTTGTTTTAAATGTGAAAGACAGGTTTTACAGAGAAGGAGAAAGAGAGAGAGATCTTTCAGCCACTGGTTCACTCCACAAATGGCCACAACAGCTGGAGCTGAGTCAATCTGAAATCAGGAGCCTCCTCCAGGTCTCTCATGTGGGTGCAGGGTTCCAAGACCTTGGGCCATCCTCTGCTGCTTTCCCAGGCCATAAGAAGGGAACTGGATGGGAAGTGGAGTATCTGGGACAAAAACAGGTGCCTATGTGGGATCGCAGTGCTATAGGACCCACCTGTTGAGCCACCTTGCCAGCTTCTGGCATCTGGTTTTTATGAAATAATTGCAAGAATGTGCGTGACATAAAAATGTGCCTGTTTGAATGTGTGGTCAGTGGTTTGGGGGCATTCTCAGAATTATGAAACGGTCACCACAATCAGAAACCGCCCTGCACCTGTCAGTCACTGTCCCTCCCTCCTGAGCCCCATTTCACTGCG